AGTAAAAATTATACAAAAATATTATTAGTAAAAAGCTTTTGATCTATAGCCCAGGCTTTTAAATGATAGCAAAGTTAGGAAAATAAGACAAATAAAAAAAATATTGAGAATGTCCAAAGTCAAGATTTTTTTTACCTTATCTTCCAGATTATCACCGTAATAGTATTTCATATAGATTACAGTTAAATAAAAACATTTAATCATTAATTCAACCGCTCATAACTAGGGCTCCCATTTATATGGATATAAAATCGAAAAATATGGACATAAAATATGGATATAAAATCCTGAAATATGGATATAAATATGGAAATAAACACTAAATATGGATATAAAATTCAGAAATATGGATAAAAAATAGTGAAAAGATATTTTTATAATCATTATTTTATGTAGAAAACAATTATTTTGCCTTTATCCTTGCATTTTAAGAACGTGCTAAATGAATTTATGAAATTAAAATTTTTGTTAAATTTTTTTGAAAATAAATTTTATCGAAAAATTTTCGAAAAAATTTTTTGACCAAAAATTTTGAAAATTTTTGCTAATTTTTACTAAAATTTAACAAAAAATGACCAAATATGGACCAAAATATTCAAAAAAGGCGAAATATTGATATAAAATATGGAAATAAAGGCTAAATATGGAAAAATATGGAAAATATGGGCATAAAGCCAAAATATGGAAAAATATGGAAAATATGGATTATAAAGACCATTCTAGAAATCTTAAAACAGGCCAAAAACATGTTTTTCGTACGTTTCATAGTCATAGGAATTCAGGAAAAAAATATGGATTTCCATATAAATGGGAGCCCTACTCATAACAGAATATATAAAAAATCTCGATAATCCGCTTTTATTACAAAAAAAACCTGAAGGTGAAAGATCTATATATTGAACTCCATAAAATTTTCAGAGTATTACTGCGTTATAAAAATTCAACAATCGGAACTAAAAAAATTTCCCGATCAAAAAAAAACTTTCTAGGCGATTTAAATATCAAAATTCTAGGTTTTTCTTAGTAAAAAAATATGAAATGTTAAATAAAACTTCCAAAAAAATACGATTCTAAAAATCCATTTGTTAGCCTAGGCCTTTAAGTAGTTAAATTTGAAAAAGGACATTAATAAATCCCTACTAAATAATATAAAGGATGAATCATTATTAATGTCTCTTCTTTTTGCCTATGGAAATATATTTTTCTCTGAGAATAGCAGTAAATTGTGACTGCCGATTAGAAGTACGAATAGCTTAATCAATTGTAAAGAGAAAAAAAATTTTAAATGAACTTTGTCATGAAACTCCTTTCCTAAGGTTTTGGGATTTATTCGGGCATATAAAATTACCCTACTTAAAAAAAAACTCTTAAAGTTCATTTGACAAAAATTGAAAGTTGTCTAGGCAAATAAAAATTATAAATTTTCCTTACCCGTCAATATACAAAATGAGAAATAAACAAAATTATTAATATTGAATTTAAGGGTTTAAGAGAATAAATTGAACATAATGACATAATAAGCATTTTATCCTTAAGGATTTCGTGAGTGCCTATTACCTAAGCCCTCTTTTTTTGAAAAATAAAAATTTAGTATCACATGAGAGAAACAGAATATAGAAATCTGATGAGTGCCTAAACACCAAAATTAATAAATAGATAAAGAATAGATTGAATCAACAGAAACCATAAACTAATTAGGATTCATTTTCTGCCATCTCTAGAAATTCTACCTTTTATGAATCAATTTTTAGCTTTCTTTGTTATTGTATTTTTCGCTTTATTTTACTTTTCTGCTGAACTCCTCAGTAAAGCTTTTTCACTATTCTTTTTTCCCCTTTATTTTGAAAATACCCAGCTTTAAGTTTCTTTTTTTTACTTAAATACTTATTCTCCCTTTTATTTAAATTATTTACAACAACCGTTTATCTTGAAATTTCAATTTGTGGGCTTCTAATACTTATATTATATATCAATTATCACTTTCTTCTTTTTTTTATAACCCAAAATTTTTTTTTTTTTAAATCCTAAACTCTGCCTAGGCACATTTAACATCCAAATCTTGAGCTTTTTTTTTTATTGGGAAAAGAAAAGAAATTCTAAAGAAAATTTTCAAGAAATATCATTATGAAAAAAAAATGACTGTTTGCAAAAATAAAAATTATTTGAAACAAGGATCAGATAGAAGGAAAGAAAAAAAATAAACATATACATAGACAAGGAAAATGAACCTTGTACTAAATGTTTGTTTTTCGTTTGAGATTAAGAAGTTTCCTTAAAGTTTCTCTCATAAAAAAAACTCCCAAAATCTACTGAAAATTGACAAAAAAAAAATTTTATTTTTAATTCTTATTTTCCCATTAATCTAAATGTTGATTTTTAACAAAAAGAAAAGAGAAAAATATTAATAAAAGTGTTTTTTTTTAAACTAAATGATGTTTTCATTGTAAAATAAAAATAGTGAAAATACTGATTATTGCCTAAACCATAAAGATAAGGAGAAATCAAAAATTAAAAGAAATACAAAATTAAAGTTTGAATGTAAATACAATAAATGGCCTCCATTTTTAAATAAAAGAGCTTGATTTTGTTTTAATTGCGCTTACTAAAATTGCTGTTATCATATCTTTGTGCGCCTTTGCTTTTTCTTGACTAGAAATTTCTTTATTTTTGAAATACTTAAATATTTTACTACTCCTTTTTCTTATTTTCTAAAACTTTCTATCAGCCCATAAAAACTTTTCTAGCTATTTGCTAACATCCATTCCAATCTTTATTCTTATTAATTAAAAAGTTTTTTTTTTTAATTATCTCTGAAACTATTGACAATATATGGGCCTGATCAATTTATATTACGTTTGAACTGAGGCTTTTGCTTTTCTTATTAGATAATCCTTATAATGGCCTAAACCTAATTTGGATGCCTGTGACTTCCTATAATTATTCTTTTTAATTTTTACTTCTTCTTGATATGTCCCTTATTTATTTGTTATACTATTTTAATCCTTCAACTATTTAATCTATTGAAGGATATAAACTACAAAATAGTGAAGTTAATAAATACTTAAATAAATTTAAATTTCATTTTAAAGTAAAAGGAACAGTGCTTAAATTTTAATTCTAGAGAAAGAACAAAATTTTAGGATTCTAAAAACTAAGGACCCTTTATCCAGCTTATATCTGAAACTGTAAATAAAATTATTTGAACACAAATTAACTAAAATTTCATAAAAGTATCTAAACTCCCTTGCTCGACTCACATAGTTTTTAAGAAAAACAAAAAGGAGAAAAAGAAAAATCCATAATCTACTTTACAGAGAACACTTATCGAAATCCCTTTTTTCTTTAAAAACTAATTTCTCTCAAAATTACTGGACAAATGTATATCATTTAAGTTCTCTTTATTTTTCCGATAGATATGTAATAGTGAGTTCTTTTTATTTTTTTTGCACCGGGCCCATGCTATTTATGCACTCCACTCTACCGATTAATCTGACTGAAAGGAGAGCATTTTAAATCCACAGAAAATTTTTTGGATAAATAAAGAAGTGAATTTCAAAAAAAAATAAAAAAAAATTTCAAAAACATAATAAAAGTAAATTATATAACCGTTAATATAGCCTAGGCCATTAAATAATTTCTTATAAAAAAACAACAATAAAACATTTAGTGAGAAAAAGTGTTTGAAATATGAATCACTATTAATTTCATTTTGTAAAGGTGAAAGTGTAAAAGAAATATAATGTAAGGAAATTATAGCTTCCGATAGATATGTAATAGTGAGTGAGCTTAAACTACTAGAATGGGAAAAAATATATATAATTTTTCACACAATGGACTTTGTTTTGTTTGGGATGATTAATAAAAATATTTGCCTAGTTTCCCACATTTAAACAAAACTCTGAAAGTAGTCTGAATATTTAAAAATATATAATGCCTAGGCAGACAAAAGTTCAAATTTTCTCCGCTAATTTAGTAGATGAATTTTTTTGACGTAGAAAAAATTAAAGAATGAAATAAACTTATTTTTTTAACAAAAATGAAAAAAAAATTCAATATAATGTAAATGTCAAAAATATAAATCTGAATAGGTAATACAGATAATGAGTAGATTAAAAGTTAAACGAAAAAAATTATGAATTTTGAATGTGAATAAATAAAAAGTTGGTATCCATTTTATCCCTAGAGATTTTGCTTTTATTAATTGCACTATCTAATATTGATCACTCTTTCGCTTTACATTTATACTCTTTTCTGGAATTTTTCCTCAAAAAATATACTTATATTATACAACTTTTCACTACTAATTCAAATTTTTTATGTAATATTACACCTTTTCTGTTTAGAATCACTTTCTTAGTTTAGTAAAAAAAAATATTTTTTTTTTAAGTCCTATAAAATATTTAACAAAAAACCCGTTTAGTTCCCTAAGGAGATTGAACCTAATTTTTTTTTACTTATTTACTATTCTGGGAGAAACAAACAAAAATTTAATTACCTAGATCAAAAACTTAAATTGTCTTAAAATCCCAATATATAATTTATAACTCATATTCTTAATTAGGGCCTTTTTTTTATTTATATCTAAAAAATTTTTCTATTTTTTTTTTTTAATATTTTTATCAGTGCATTTATCATTTTAATATATTTTTTTTAATATTTTTAATATTTTTTTTACTTATACTCATTAATTGGCCTAAGCCTTAATTGAACGCCCGGGTCTTACATCATGAAATATACAACCTTCCAAAATTCATAATTATTTTTATTAGGGCTTTTCTTTTAAAGGGCTTTTTTCTTTATATTTATTATAATGGCCTAAGCCTTAATTGAACGCCCGGGTCTTACATCTTAAAATTACTCTTATTATTTTATTTTACTCTGCCCATTATTTATGCTGCCCCGGGGTCTTATGCTATATTTAGTTCTTTATTAAATTTTGCCCTAAAATATTTTCTAGCCCTTCTGCCATGCATGGTCTTTTATTTTTAGTTGCTGAAGCATTTTTTTAAGCGCGCGAGTTCCAGTGTCCCCATTTTTTAAAATTTTTAAACTTGCTCTGCCATTTTCATGTTTCCATTTTTTGCCGAAATTTCCAATCCATGTGCCATGTCCATATTCTGCCCAAGAGCATGTTCCATTAATCCATTTTTATGTTGTTTTTCCATATGCTGCATGTCCATATTCTTTTCCATTCCATTTTCCGCCCAAAAGCCTCAGGATCGCCAAAGCACCACTTTGGCATCCGGTGCTACCAGTTAAGTGGAATCATGCTGGGTCCATTCTAAAACCAAACCTAGGCACAGTTAAACCATTATAATCCCTAAAGATAGCTTGTGGGTTGGCCAGACCCAAGCTTAACCTTTACCACTGAGCCACACCGGTGTGCTCTTCCTTATAGGCACATATATACACAAAGACTGACTAACTGGGAACTGATTTATCGGTGAAGCAATAAACAATATATAAACATAAGCATGTGAATGGGAGGTGACACAGGAAATAAAGATAAATAATAATTATAGTGTAATGGTTGGGAAAATCCATTAACACATAATGCTCGTCCATAAGATCACCTGTGCTTAGGCAATCAACGGATATACCTTACATTAATTTCGTTGTTTTGTTCTCTCATTGCTTCCAGGCATATATCTTGACGTAAATATCCGACATCTAAGATTATTTTTTAAAATTATTTTTAAATATTTTAAATAGGGTAACATTCCGAGTGGTCAAGAGTAGTGTTCGGCACTCCCGCGGTACTCCCAAAAGTGCCGAGTCGGTATGTTTCGGTACTCCCGGAACCGGAACGACTATAAACCGATTGGACTGTGTTTGGGTGCGGAGCGTTACCCTTATCTTAACAAACCCAATTTTTTCATTCCAACAGAAAGACATTTTTCAAGTCTACATTTTTGACATTTGGCCAAATTTGTTTGGGATTTTCCGTTTTTATTCCCTTTTAATAATTGTTTTTGCAAACATTTACATTTATACTTGCATTCTCCTTCATTTTCAATATAACGCCTTTTGAAAAAAATTTTAACTTTAATTTTATTAAAAAAATACCTGAAAAAAGCTCCACAAGCCCTACATGTACTAACTCCATAATGAAAACAAACATTTAGTTTTGACTCACAAACTTTGCATTTTTTAATAAAATTTCTTTGCATTTTTAAAGTTAAATTGGTATTTTTTATTAAACGAATAAAGCTAAAGTCCTTTAACAATGCTTAATTAAGTAGATAATTAATGAATAAATGAGAGAGAGAAGGGATGTTTTGTTATTTTTTTTTGTTTTTTAAATCAGTTTAGGTATATCTATCTTCTGCAGAGTTCTGTACAGCTATCTGTTTAATTTCTCACTAAAATATTAAACGGTTTTTATGTTGATTTTGTTCCCTAAATCGAAGAATTTAATGTTTATGTCGGCTAGATCCCTTGGATATATAAGAATATACTGTAAAGTAAATATATATCTCTTTAATCCAAAGGCTAAAAAAGGAAACATATCAATCTGACCTATCCTTTTACATAAGCTGAGGGAAAAATTGCTAGCACATTTCAGCTTTATTTGTGAAGATAAACTAGGAAAAATAATTATTTGAGGTAGGAAAATTATTGTTTCAATTCTTCAATAAAGAGGGTAATAAAATAAAGCTGATTTTAAAAAACTAAAGACTGAGGGGCTATACTGGCCAAACTCCGGTTATATAAGCTTATAAAATATTCTTCAATGGTAGCAATAAATATTTCATAAATACAAAAATTTGTTGGCAAAAATTGATATATTCAATGCAGAAAATTCCCTCCTAAGCAGTTTTTCAATGGCTATGTAGAACGTATTTAATTTTAATTTTTGGCTTTTTGTTTGAGATTTGGCTAAACAAATAAATTTTCTAAATAAAATTTTAAAGAGATTTTTAAAGACAGGCAAGTTTTGTTGATAGGATAATATGTCGATGGGTATAAAAAACGAATTATCGTGGTTAGAAAGCTTTATTCAATAAACAAAATTCTTTTCAATTACAAAAATAAAAATTAAAAACGGCTAATTAAACAAAAATGGAACGAAAATTAATTTTTATTAACAACAATCTAAAAATGGTTGGATCGCTTATCCGTGCGTTAACGCTCTAAAATCAAACGTGGAAACTTAGAAAAAAATTTCTATTGTATTGATTTTAGACTTAAAAAATTTTGGTTTTGATGTTAGGGAAGGTTGAATTTTTTTAGAATTGTTTAAAAAGGAAGCAACTAAGGAAGTAAAGGAAATGGGGTGTTATTTTAAAGAATCCGTTTTTTCTATTTTTTAATAAATTACAAAAGAAAATGATGTTTGCTGGAATGAACACAGTTTTAAAAACTTTAGAATTGTAGTATTATTCAGTCTAACGTGCATTAGCCTTTTTTATAAAATTTTAAAGTCAATCAAATTTTGAGATATAATTTTTTCAAATACTTTGAATCAAATTTGATTGGCTGTTTTTTTGGCATGAATCAAATAATTATTTGTTTTGATTTTTTTCCCAATCCTTATGTATATCTTTGGAAAGACTTATATCTATCAACATTTATTTTAATTTGTTCTCTCTCTAACTGAATTTTGAAATTTTTACTCATACAGTCAACTCTTTGCTTAAACTAAAATGAATTGTCACCAAAGCATTTTAGCCCAACCAGTGGGCAACCAAATTGAAAAAAACGTAAGAATTTCCCCCCTCATCTAGTGGGAAAGCTCAATAAGAAAACGGCTAATTAAACAAGAATTGGAAACGAAAATTAATTTTTATTAACGTTAATCCACAATTGGTTTAATTAAAAATAAAATGGATTTTTAAAAAATAAAATAATTAATGGCTTTTTTGGATAAAATAATTTGGAGTTTATATGTATTTTTCTAATTCAACACTTTTTTTCTTATCATTTTCCAACTTTATTTATAACTTCCATAAGTTGTGGTATTTTGTATTTATGTCCAGTTTTGTAACCCTTGAAATTTTTTTTGAAAATTTTGAAAGAATTTTTTTGTTTGTTTAAACATACAGCCCCATCCAATTGACGCATCCACGCCTCCCATTCTAATTCTCCAACTCCCCATTCAATATCACCTATACGCTCTAAAGTGTGCACCATTTTGTCACCGTTTTTATCAGCAGCGACGCGGTTCATTCCATTTGCTAAAGGATAAAATTTAACTGAATAATTTTGACAGGGAAATTTATTTCCGGGTTTTTATTTGATGTAAATTTCCCCTTTTTTTCTATTTTCAACTAATATTAACTCTGTCTAAGAAGGCAAAATTATATGGCATAAGAATAGGGTTTAGGTTCTTGGAAATCTTCGGATATCCGTCGGTTTTCTGGGAAGATACCCCAGATAAGAGGTACTCCCAGCCTAGATGATAAAAAAAGGAAATGCCAATCGGAGACTGTGCTATGCGAAATCTTGTTTTGGACTTTTTTTTTGTCCTTTTTCATTTAGTCTCGGAGCGAAATAAAAAATTGTTCCGAGGCGTTCCGAATTTTTCTATTAATTTTTTTGTAAATTTTATGTCTTTCAGAAATCTTGTCAGTATTCAGAAACAATTTCTAGTCGAGCGATCTCTCTTAATTTTTCTATAATTTATTTATTTATTTATTTACCTCCATGTTTAGCAAGTTCATAAGTTTTATTTATCTCTTCTTTACCCGGCAAAATAATATTTTTTAAACCGCCAGACAAAGCTGAAATTTGTGCTTTACAAGCATTAAGTGTATGATAGGCTAAATGTAAAGCTTCCTCTACTGTTGTACCGCAACATGCAAAACCATGATTTCGAAGGAAAATGACCTTTTTTTAAAAAATTTTTTTAATACTAAAAAAATTTTTTTTAACTTTTTTGCCGGTCAATTCTTTAGCAATTTCTGCCTTTTCTTCCTCAACAGAAAGCATTCCAGTGAACGTAATATAGCCTACTGGGCCAATAACCATAGCTTCTTAAATATTTTCAAAGTTTTATATTGGTGAAATTCGAGATTTTAATGTTAAATCTTAAGAAATAGGGTTGTAAATAAGAAAACTTCAGAATATTTGGATAGAACTTAATAGTGTGAGTGAAGGGAATAGACTGTAATTGTAGAAAATGCTGAAGAGGATGAAGCAAAATCCCTAGGAAGCAACATCCCTATTTTTAAGAAAGCTTGCCTTGCGTAATAGGCAAAAGTCCACATTCCATCGAAGCAACAGCCGCGCCAATAGAAGTATGAACATGAAGGACACATTTAATTTCGGGAAAAGCTTCATGAATGGCTGTGTGGAGAATATAACCAGCTTGGTTAATACCTAAAGGAGAGGGAGGGATTTTTTAAAAGTTTTCGAAGCAAATTATAAACATGCCCAATGGTGTTGAGCCTGAATCTATTATACGCCCATCAGTAGTAATCTGTAAATGTTACAAATCGTTATGTATAATAATTTTTGGCTTGTTGCCAAGGCCTGGGATATATGATTAGAGAATTTTAGTGTAAATTATGGTATCCTTTGAATTTTTGAGCCAGTTTAGATTGAGTTATCACCTAAGACCCTATAAAATTTAAATCTGGCCATTAAAATGAATCTAGACATACCTTCACTAAGGAACTAGCAGTTATTTCACGATAAAGTAGACCAAAAGGATTAATTAAAATTTCGTGTTTGCCCTCTCCTGGAAGACGAAGCTAAAAAAGAATTGAGAAAATAATTGTAGAAAATAACTGACAGAGATATGATTGTAGATAGCCTGAGACCAATGAAACAAGTCTACAAGACGGTATAGCGTAGCCAATTTATTGCGACCTTCTACTTCTTCCTTGGAATATTTTCCTCCTTCTTTCAAATCCGCAATTTGAATTAATGGTTTATCTGGAAGAATAAAATTTAATTTTAGATATCAATAGGAAAAGGCTATAATCAAAAATTCGAGTTTTTTGAGGTTGTTTCTGATCTACCCATAGATTTTGAATGCCCATTAATGCTCTCAAATTGCAGTTTCTTGTTATTATGGAGAGTCTCTTGTTTTTGAACAGTACTTAAAGTGTAAATAAGGCAGAAAAAATCCTTTTTAAAAATTTCAGTTAAGGACAAGATCTCTTAAGATGCCTATTTATTAGGGCTGTTGGCGACCGGTTATTAACCGGTACCCCCGGTTTTCGGTTAATCTAAATTTTAGAAACCCGGTTTTCGGTTTTGAGTTTTAGGCAAATACCGGTTTGTTTTTGGGGGAATTTTAAATAAAATCACTCATTTTCGCAGATTTCCGCTTTTTAAAATTTTTGGGAAAAAATTTCAAAAATTCCGGTTTTAAAACCGGTCGCCAACAACCTTACTATTTATCTTGAATCTCGATAACTTTATTTTAGATTTTTAGTTGAATGATTATTTTTTGGATTATTATTACTCAGACTTAAGCATGTGTACAATTTAAATTAGTGGTTGGCAATGACGGTGGCGGATCCTGATATCCGAATCCGAAAAAAGGCCGGAAAAAGGCCAACTATACACCAACCTTATTTGGCAAATGCTGTTTTTTGGTATTCGATAATCTTGGAACATTAGGATAAATTTCTTTCAATTGAGCATACCCCCTATTTATTACACCCCCTTACATAATTAAATCAATTCAAAGCTACATATTTCAGTTATATCCTTCCTAAGATTTGTCAAAAGAAGAGAATACCCTGACAAATAATTTATACATATACTAATTTTATCACCTCCAAAACCATTAAGATTTAATGACAAATCCATTTTTAAATTTAGAAGGCAAAATAAACTTAAAATAAATTACTAAAATAAATAAATAATAATAAATTTGAGAGTATTTATATGTAATTTTGTTAAAAATTTTTTATAGCTTCACAGTCATTTAAGAGTAAATAACGTGTTTATATTTTTATAATTTTACTGATAGTATTTTTGATAAAATGCTTAAAATATTTTTGTTTGATTACTTTATACTAGAGGAAACTAGAAGAATTGTAGTTTGCTGGAAAATATATTTTGTTAACTAAAGTGTTAATAATAATTGTCAGTAAAAGTATGATAATAATTTTGTTTGTTTTACGTGAATAAAATTTTGTCCAAAAATTAGAGTTCACGTTCAAACAAAAAATAATCAGAGTTTTAAAAAATCAAAGGGCTTTTTTCGAAACAAAAAAATTATAAAAAAATTTAAAACTATCGATATATTCAAATTAAAAATTTCAAGAAAAGAACCGAAATTTTATTTTCCTAAACAGCTTAGATCAAAACTGACAATTCTCTATTTAATAAATTAGTAAAGTAAAATTATTTATGTCCTCAAATTTTAATCCGATCTCCTGTTATTTTGTAATATTGCACCCTGAACGCTCGAGTAATGGATTCGTGGTAATGGGTTTTCAAAGTTGTTTCGGGGCGTTGTTCGGGTTGGGAGAGCAAAATATGGTCGAGGTTCGTGTCGGGCACGCGGTTTTAATAAAAAATTTTGAAGGAAAATTTTTAATCTCTTTAATCTGATTTTTATCCTCTTCAAATTTCAGCAAAGATAACAGCTTAAATTATAAATATACCAAAATGAAATCCTTTTCAAAAATTTCGGTTAAAAGCGAAAATCTTTTTAATAAATTATTTTTTATAATAAATTTTTTTCTCAGGAAGATTTTTGATTTAAACAAAAAATATTTATTTCTACATAATTTCCTTCTCAACTAAAATCAAGTACTTATTATCTAAAGAAATATTAATTAGCATGTGATCACTTTAATAATTATTTTATCTACATATTTATTTAATAAAATATTTTGTTGTCATAAATAGTAGTAGAATATAAAATAAAGAACAAAAATCAGAAAATTTCAATAAAAATTCTTTAAATACCTATTTAATTTTTATCTTCTTTTCTGTGAATTTTAATTTGTTGGCTTGCCTGAAAACAGAATTTTAAAAATTAGATAACTAAAGGTAAACGTCTTTAAGGTCATTCAATGAAGGTCCCTCATTTCCCAATGAAGGGTTTATAAAATTCCAAAACCCATAAATGAAAGTGTGCTAGGTGGAGTGTTTATTAGATAGAGGTTTTTACGGAATTGGCTTGTCAAAAGTTAAAAGGATCTATAGAAGTATACAAAAGTTGAGGGGCATTTTTTGATTTTTAATCGTCAAAGAACATAACTCCAAGACTTCGAACGGAACGTAATGTTTGTGTCACGTACTAGAATCCCTTTCAGTGTTGCTGCGGGTTCAAAAAATTTTCGGGTACGGGTTTCGGGTTGGAAAATTTTCATTCCGGGTCAAGGGTTTCTGGTGCAAAAAAATGCCGGATTTCGGGTTTCAAGTATCGGGTTTCGGGCGGCAACCCTGATCCCTTTACTATATTTTCTAAATTTACTCCAAATAAAAGTTTAAATACTTTTTCACGTGTTTCTTGTGCTCCAAAAATATATGGGCAATTCGCTAGTAGAGGAACAAACTTTCCCCATCCAGGTTCAACTTTAAGTTCACCACAATTCCAAACAACATTTCCTCGAGAAATAGTCACTTCTGGTACTCCACGTACTTCCATTCCTTCTAAATAATAAATAAGTTTTAGTTAGAAAAGTTTAGAATTTTAAGAGTTGGATGCACGTTATAAAGGGATATAGTCAGAGATCGACGCGAGACAAGAGCCTTTTCAAAAATCTTGGTTATCAAGATTTTAAAGATACCGATCTCGAATATCAAACGATCCTCAAATCCAGTTTCCAGTTATAATTGCATCGTGGTAACAGGAAAATGGATTCAATTATAACAATTATTATTAGGTATATTAGTTTTGGTCTATTTTTGGAAAAACCTGACAATAAATATGGTGCTTCCCTCGCTTCCCTTATATTTCCGATTAAGAAAGAGACCCTGAAGAAGAGTATTTTTAATTGAAGCTATTTTTATACAAACCAAAAACATTAAAATCTGTAGCATGATGATGAGTTTTTGCAGAAATTTTTCTATTAGAATTTGGATTCCATATAACAATATCTGCATCAGACCCTTCCTGTATTCTTCCCTTTTGTGGATAAATATTAAATATTTTTGCTGCCATTGTACTTAAAAATAAGGCAAATGATTTAAATACTCCTCTCAAGGAACCTAGTAACAGCCACAAAACGCATTGGATTTAATTTTCCACTGCAGACACCCTTTTCCCAAACTAGTGACATTCGGTCCTCAACACCGTTCACACCATTCGGAATTTTCGTAAAATCCCCAAGACCCATTCTCTTTTGCTGACAAGTAAAAGTACAGTTGTCTGTGGCGACTAAATCTAGTTGCCCGCTAAAATTATTTTACTGCCAGACCTTACTATAAGATCACAGAATACCATCCATTAGGGTCCACACAATAAAAATAGCTCCTGGGGCTATTTTTTAAGGAATACGGTAGTGTACGAAATGGGGATAGCTGTTGGCCAATTAACCGGTAACTACGTTATTATTGTACGAACCTTATTCTAAAATACCTCATTCTAAAATTCGATTTCTGCCCTAATGGTATATCTTATATTGAGGTCCAAATTTCAAATGATATTGACTAAAAATAAATTATATTCCTACCATGCCAATAAATCCATTAAAGCATTTGGAGTGCTCGGGTCTTTGCTCAGAGGAGGTCTTAAATTAGAAAATTAATTTTTTTAAATCCTTCATATTTACGAAAGCACAAATGCAGCTGCATGACTAAAATCTTCATTAAAATAATGTGATCCATCAAGCGCCAATCCGGCAGCTATTGGCTCTCCGAAAATTGGAAGACCTCCATTACCTTGCCTTTGGGCAGCTATAGCAGATGCTGCTCCTTTAATTAGTTATTTGATTTTTCTGGATATGGATTGGGGCTTCAAATTTTAAAATAGTGCCTGACATTTGATTCAGGATCCAAAGTTTTTTCTGGTTTTTTAAAAATAAGTCAGAGTTTAGCAAGTTTCGTAGATGCGACCACCAAGACAATGCTCGCTTGGGCACACTTAACCCTTTGCACGTGCCTAACGAGATACGACAAGAAAACTTGATTTCTTTTCTCACTAACCCTTGCCTAATACATAGTTTTAAACCCTGTTTTGTGTCTCATCCCTTCAAATAACAAAAAAGAGCTCTTTCAATTTCTTTAAGATTTTCAGCATTCAAGGAAACCTTTAGTCATAACGTGAACAACATAGAGAGGGCAATTTGCCATTTTTGCAATAGTACAAGCTCTATTGGTAGCTTCAGCTTCTAACTGTTCAGGTCTTGATTGAACATGTCCTAAACTTAATTAATTTTCAAAAATTCCTCAAAAATCTTTTCACACCTTCAGGCCCAGTAATTCCAATTTCTAACAATTCCTTTTGTTTTTCGGCTATAACATGCCCGTTTTCTGCGTGGACACGTGCTAAAGCTCTTAATTTTGCACACTGTTTGAGGCCCTGATTTTATTTAAGAAATTATTTTTTGGGTACAAACTAGCCTGATAAAATTGTTTATCGGTAACCATAAAAACAGTTTCGTAGGCGAGAAAAAATTTGAAGGAATTGATTCCTTTAAATTAAATATTAAACTTGGTAAAAAAATTCCCTTATAATTAGTAAATATGTAATTGTTCAAGATGAAAATTTTGTATTAAAAATCTTAATACTGTTAAATTTTCACGTGAAATCTCTTAAGGATTTATTCTACCTTAGAATTCTTCTTTTTGTTAAATATTTTTGTGAAATTTTGCATTGAATAACAAATTAGTGGATTGGCCAGGAAAAAGGCTTGGTTAAGTAAGTACACTAATGGCTGTGGCTCTAAACGTGAATTTTCGAGCTGAAATTAAACATCAAATAACAGCCTCGATCTTAACCAAAGATAACTTGAATTAATATATGAAACAGATTAAAATTTTAAAATCCAGATTTTTTAGTTTACTTTTAACTACAAATAAAACTTTTACCAAATTCTTGCTTAACCAATATTTCCATTTCCTCAGCTATTTTTTCATTCCAATTAGTAATAGCCATAGAAAGGCCATAGTCACAACAAACCTGTTTATTTTTAAAAAATTTCTTAACCGAAAAAAACCGAACTTTAGGGTCTGCCCATTCCCTCCATTGTTTATAAGCATCTAATGGAGTACTTTCTTTTGGTGGAATAGCAAAGTCAATGATCTTTTTTTAAATATTTTTTAAATTTAAGTTAATTAAATCTAGTAACCATGGTTGTTCCACCAGCCAATGCTGCTCTTGTTCCATGATAAAAGTCATCGGCGGCAACTGTGCCCATAAAAGGGAGTTGCATATGTGTCTGTATCATATATTATGAAAGTAGAGTTGTCGGATCTAGATATCCGGATCCGAAAATAGGCCGGATATCGAGAATTTTTCGTTTCGGATATCCGGATTCTGATATCCGAAGATTTCCAACAATTCTCTACCTTAGTAGCGATGATAGGTAAAATGGGTTTACTTGTTATCTATTATTTGTACACAGTTACCCCTAACTCATTTTCTCTGTTAATTAGATTTGCCCACGTTTGTAAGGGAAGAATATAAAGAGTACGGCGGATATATTGTTCTCCTCTCCCCCATCTTATATCAACCATTAGTTAATAATATTGCTACTTTAATAGAGGACAAACAAATGTTACGTGTTTATCATCCAAAAATTTTTTAATTTAAAAATTATTTAATTTACAAAGACACACTTACATGTGGATCAATGCCTAAAATATTTTAGAAAGTAAATCATATTTAATAAAAAAAAATCCCATCATTTACCTCCAGGGATCACTAAACGCCCACTAGCATCAATTACTTCAATATTACTCTGTTTAGAAAATTCCTTAGCCAACCCTTGTTTAACAGCACTGGAAATTTCACAAAATTTCACAAAATTTTCCCGAAGAAAAAATTTATTTACATAATTTTATTTCCTTCAACAAGTACATCAGCTACAAACATACAATCATCGTTTACAACAGTTCCTCCAAAAATTAATAAAATATTTTTTTGGGGTTTGGAAAAACTCATTTATTTATTTTTTATTTAAGAAATGAGGGAAACAACTGATTAATAATTTTATAAGAGTAAAAAAATAAATTCTGCAAGTAATGAAAAATAAAAATAAATAATAATCAATTTATTACAAAATTGTAAATAAATAAAAATAATAAATCATAAATGATAATTATGAAAAATAGAAAAATAAAAGTAAAAATAAGGGTAATAAAAAAAGGGAAAAAATAATAAAAATTTTTTTTGAACTTTTCTCACTCATTATTTTAAAAAATTTATTTTCCTTTCAAATTCTCCTTCACTGTATCAAATAATTTTTAAAATATGTACATGTTTCCCAGTATCAGGGATGGGCGGAATTTTTACTTACAATTTTTTCTAGAGATGTCCAGAGCCAAAAATTTTCTAAGATCTAAGACAGATTGGATCTTTGCAGGACCATGACTTAACCACGATGTCAAAACGACTAGGGTTACCGTTTTCGAGTCGGACCGTCGGTCGAAGTCCTAAAGTCCCTCGTGATCCTTGATAATGCTCTAAATCTTCATAATTTCTCCTAACACCTCTGTATACCTTCATTGAAGCGCCCATTAAACCAGTTTGTCGCTTAAAGCTCGTCAGTTCGTATGTCAAGCCTAATATGGAGCTAAAACTTCTTCTTTTCATTTTTGAAATTTTTTTGGAATTTTTTTTGAATTTTGGAAGGCCAATGAGCCAGATTTCTCCCATTTTTATCCACAAATCGGGTAAAAATATTATCGAGTCTTGTTCGAGTCAGAACGAATTTTTTCGAGCATTTTTTGGACTTGTTTTAATCGTCGGGCCGTTACGAGCCTTTTTCGGGCCAAATATCTTAGGCCTGACTCAATCTTTCGGTCCGAGTCGGGCCATTTTGGCAACCCTAAAAACAACAACTCTCAAGAAACGTCTTGAGTTAAGAATCAAGACCAAAAGTCTTGGACGTCTCTACTAAGTTGCTTCAAGTTTATATTGGAAAATTGTGAGTAAAACAACGAAATTATTTAGGTTCAAAAATCAATAAAAATGAATTTTTTCTTTTCAAAAAAGGTTTCCGTCAAAACTATAACTCTCAAAACTCCCTTGGATTAGCGATAATATAATTAATTTTCGTTTAATCTGGGTATTTATTATGTGTTTAATTAGCTGGTTTAAATAAATTTTAGCTAATATTCAATTTTTTACACCAACTCCCTTTTTATCCATTATCCCTTCCTCAACTTAACTTCATGGCATTAAATTAGTCAATAAAATAATTAAATTTTATTCTGTTTTCAGAACGTTACAAGCTCAAATAATCTCTTTCTCTCTCTCGTTCTCTCTCAGACCCTCTTCCAATTCTCCTTCAACTAATGCCAGAATATCCCTTTAAATTTTTGTTTAAATATTTGTTTATTTAGCTGACAAATTAAAATTAAACACGTTCGAATACACTTAAGGCGTGGAGGGGTATTGAGGAGGGGTATATGGAGGGATATTGAGTGATATATCGTGGAGGGATATTGAGGCATCCATATCCCTCCACATGGGATGTGGAGGCATCCTTCACCAAATCCTCCTTAATTTCCAAATAAATTAACTAAAACAGAACCACCTTTTTTAATTTAAAATATTTTTCAGTGTGAAATGCAAGCATGACTCTAGCCAAAATGCCCGATGATGGCAAATAACCATTTTTAGATTAATGTTAATAAAAATTAATTTTTCTTTTTCATTTAAATTTTTGTGTGTTTAATTAGCTGTTTTGAATAAATTTAAGTTTTTTTAAATAAAATTTTATTTATAAAATAAAATATTCATTCATAGAAAGATGAGAGATAAGTTTTGAGTTTAACTAAATTGATTAAATCCAATCATTCAACTTAACTTTCTGGTATGCAATTTTTGTTAATAAAATTTATTTGTTTATTCAGCTGATAATTTAACGAACCAAAACGAATATTAAACACGTTCTCATACCCTAAAATCGTCCATTTAATTTTTTAAATTTTAGTATTCTAACAATTTTCCATCAAATTTTTTTATATTTAATGAAATATAAAAAATGAATATTTAATTATTTAAAAGCTAATAAAGCCGTGCTTTTTTGTTAGGCTAAAATAAAAATTAGGTATTTTTGCCTGAAATAAATTTTATAAACGATATTTTTTAATTAAACCGTTTATTTAAATTTTTATAAAAATATCCTTAAAAGCTTGATAATAAGCATTTATCAACTTTATTTTAATTAGAAAAAATACAAATTTATTTTAAAAATGCAAAGAAATTTTATTAAACAATGCAAAGTTTGTGGGACAAAAGAACGTGTTTGTTATCATTATGGAGCTCGTACATGTACAGCTTGTGGGTCTTTTTTTAGGTATTTTTGATTTTGTTTAATTTGAAATTTTTTTTTGTAAAATTCCGTCATATCTCTCATACTCCGATATGGACAACCAATATTTCGGTCGAAAAATCTCGACGAGCTGAGTTGGACGACACTAAAATAGCTTCCGGACACTGGGTTATGTAAAGTTATGTCATAAATATATAAAGTTATGTCATAAATATTAACTTAAAGTAAGTGGCGGAACAGGATCAGAGGCACGCCTGATAACGTGAACATGCTCAAATTTCGAGTATACTCCAATCTATAGGTTTTGATGAGAAAAAGCGCGATGAAAGATTGTTGTTGGTGCCCTATAATCTCAGAAAAATTCAACTTTTTACCAGTTAGCGAAGACTACAAGTAACCTCTTACGCAGTTCGTAAGTCAAGTGAAACTTATTTCAGCCGAAAAAGTATTTTTTGAACGAGAGTGTTCGAATCGCCAAGATTAAAGATATTGGGCAACTAAATCTCCTCTTTCTAACCAACTTTTTAGTTATCAAACTGATTTGTCAAATCAAGCTGATTTTGATGTCATTCGACGCAGCTAGTCGAGCAGTTTCGAATGAAATATTGGTTGTCCAAATCAGAGTATGGGAGATATGACGGAATTTTTCCAAAAATTTCCTTCCAAAAGGCGTTATCTTGAAAACGAAAATGTGTGGAAATATAATTTATGTAAATGTTCAAAAGAGAATAAAGGCGAAAAATCCCAACCAGATTTTGCAAAATGTAAAAAATGCAGACTACAAAAATGTCTTTCTGTTGGAATGAAAAAATTGGGTTTGTCAAAATAAGGGTAACACCTTATCCCCTGATACTCTCTTTATCACTTATAATTCTTTTATATCCCTTCATGGTGATTCAAGTGAGGTATATACAAGAAACATCTCAAGACGGGTGTATTATTGGTATAACTCCATTTTATGGACAATATATTAGAACAGAAACGGGATCTGGACCCGGTCCCGTTTCCCAGTCCTTTTTCCCGGCTTTGTTTAAGATACCGGGATGAAACCGGGAATTTCCAGTTTTCCCGGTTTGAGTCCCGGCCGGTCAAATTTCATTATCCGTTTCCCGATCCCAGCTTTTCTGACCGGGAAACCGGGAAAAATTCTAGCAGCAAATTGTAAAGAATTTTTCCAAAATTCTCAAAATTTTCGCCTGCGGCTCAGAAAAAGTAAGAATTTTGGCTTTTGGGCCTTGCAAAATTCTCAAAATTTTCGCCTACGGAGCTAATTGGAGGTTTGGAGGTATTATTAAATTGGAGGTATCATTAAATTTGGAGGTATTATTAAAGGTAACACGGCCATTTTTTGACCGGGAAAAATGGAAACGCTTTTCCCGCTTCCGGGTCCCGAACGGGTTCCTTCTGCAAATTCCGGTCTCAAAATCCCGGTCTCTACATTATATAGAAAAAAGTAAGAACGTCAACATTTTTATCTCTGTATTCGGTATCGTACTATGTATAATTGTGTATATCCCTGTTTATATGTCTATATAATATAAAATATATAGAGGTCGAAATAATAATTGCCCTCTCTCAAATAATTACCCCACCACTATTACTCCAGCTGGAGGTCGAAACAATAATCAACCAGGGTAGTTACTACCGGAAAAACGATATCCAATATTTAAAAATAATTATTACCTAATAAAAAAAGTATTTTAGATATTGGATATTTACGTCATGATATATGTCGGGAAGTGATGGAAGAACAAAAAAATGAAATTAAAGTAAATTTATTTATTTTATACAGGAATAAGAAAATTTCAAAATTTTCCATACCCCCTGCAGTATATACATATGTAGAATACCCAAAGGAACAAAAACAAAACATAACAAAACAATAATTAAAATTCTCTCTATTTTTAAGATACTAAATTCCCCAACTGTCGACATAACCATCAAAG